ATGTAAAGAACATAGTTGACCGAAAAGGGTACTCTGTTTCGTCTTAGTACAAAACAACATGGTTGACAGAAAAGGGTACCCTTTTTCGTCATTTTACATAACGATGCAGTTGAGCGATAATCGTACCCTTTTCAGTTATTTTTATGGAGATTTGATTTGTATAAATTCGTTAGATAATCCGCTTTTTCGCCTTTAAGTTGAAACTTGGATCGACGTAAAGGGTAATTAAAACGAACCAATTCCCTTACAACACAAATCTCAAAAAAGGGTACCCTTTTATGGCTATATGAAGATTTTTTGGTCCGAACTGTTACGCTGTAATTTAGGTATTGAGTTAATGGATTAATCTGGTATACAATCATTTCAATAATGAGGTATTTAGTAATTTAGATAATCAATCAGTGCAATTTTCAGAATTAGCTAAGAAAATTTCTGCAAAAATGTATATTCCCAAAAAACTTCTGGGAACTAGGTTCCCAGGTTCCAATACTTTTCCCACCTCTGTGCATGCAATATATACTATTACTTATCTTACAACTGTCCTACAAACAGTCAAGCGTTCTGTCCATGCAAGACGAAAATAAATAAGCAGCACCCCAAGTCGCTCAGTAGGACACACCACCTCTATCGCGAGAGAATCCGAGTTTACTCTGATTGTGGACAAGCGCCGTTATTCCCAGTATCATATTAATAACGATCGGTTCTTCGTCCATCACGAGCGACCGACTGATGTCCGAAGTTGCGGCGGCGACTAACGACTTTTGAAGTGCGGAGAAATCAACACACTCGGGCGACACCGCGTTGTATTTAACCGAAGTATGGGCAGTTAGGGTTATGTGCGGGATATCTTTTGACCATGGGTTCCAGTAGTCAAATGTCCCCGGTACTTTCACTGCATTCCAATGTATACGCAGCCCGGTCTCATTGCTACGACGCGTTGAGTCTTGATAGCTGTATGGTCAAATATGTAAATATTAACCTCGGCTGTTAATAGCACAGTGGTGGGGATGTGCCGGATTAAAGAGTCATTGTCGACCACAATGCATTTGTTTACATCTTACCTTCGGAAGTGAGAAATAGCAACAAATGACGATTATAAACATTTCTTTGGTGCAAGTTTAGCATAAAAAAAGTTAAAATGAGCAAGTATAACCATAAGATGGTAGTAATATATTATGGATTGAAAACCGAAACACCTATTATCCCGCCATTAAAATGGCCGCCAAGCAGGTTTGAGCGCACAGTGCATTAATACCAAATGGTTTTCCGTGCAAGATAGCGTCATTCATGTACGCGAGATGTTGCAAGACTTTCGAAAGTCGAGCAACATCCCAGTGCATTAATAGCGCTGTCCTGTACGGAAAATGGTAATAGACCTTATGCATAATGACGTCACAAGGCGTGATGCGCGGGGAATTCTGGTTTTAGCGGCAATCACGGCGGGGAAAACAATCCAACATGGCTATTGTCGAATGCGAGTGTACTGCTGTTCTTTGTCGTCTTTTAGATGCTCGGGATTGAAGCAACCTGGAACACAATACCTATTAAAACCGCAACTTCTTTTACTCGTACTGGTCGATGAAAGCGGACTGTTGTCGTTACGTTCAGGGCTGTCAAACCTCTGAAAACCCGTGCAAGAGTTCTGAAATTAAAGAACTAGGAACACTAACGTGGCTTGAATAGCCTGTTAAAACACGACAAAGAGCAGTAGCACGCTCACTGACCCACGACCAATGCCTACGACAGCCATTGACAACAGCAAGTGGCCATGTTGGATTGTTTTCCCGCCGTGACTACTAAGACCAGAATTCCCCGCGCGCATCACGCCTTGTAACGTCATTATACATAAAGCCTATTGATTTATAAAATAACTACAGTGAAACGTCGTTAAAACGTCTATATAAAAGTTACTTAAATGGTTAACTTCAATTGACTGGCCAACGAATCTTGAATAATTATGTTTTGAAATGGAAGTATCTAGCCTGCTCACAGACGTTGTAGTTCTTACGCCAATTAGCGACGTAAGAACTACAACGTCTGAGAGCAGGCTAGGAAGTATAGATAATTAGATAGATAGAACGTTTTATTTAAACACGCTAACCATTGTCAACCTAGGCTGATTTCCACAAGGGGCGTGTACAATAATAAAATTACAAAAATATAGTATATATTAAGATATTACATACAGTAAGAAATATACATATATATATACATACATATATATATATATATATATATATATATATATATATATATATATATATATATATATATATATATATATATATATATATATATATATATATATATATATATGTATATATATATACATAATTATATAAGTATAAGAATAATAATGCTATTCAAAAATGTGAGTATTCAAAAATGTGAGTAGCGATTTTAGTTTCAAAGGACATGATGGAGTTGCTCTCTATAATTTCGGTTGGTAAAGAATTCCAAATGTGTGCCCCGTCAAACACGAAACTTTTTTTCAAGCTATTTGTACGCGGCTGTGGTATCAGGCTCAAATTTTTTTTCGCATTGTACCCCGCCACAAAAAGATATGACCTTACTTTAAAAGGTTTTATTAGATACGACAAACTACAATATAAACACAGAAAAAAAAGACATGGTACTTACAAACCAAATGTGCTGGAAGAATATGAAAGATTTCCGGTTTGCATTCTGATGCAGTTGACCAGCGGAATCTTGCGATGATCTTCTATCTTTGTTGTAATGAAATTAAATCTTACAACAATCAGTTGTTTCTGCGTAAGAAGAATCAGTCTCTCTTTCTCGTTGTCCCAGTGGTCTATCCTAATAATTTAACAAGGAAGGCTGTTTCAGGGGTCATCCAAGATACATATTATATGTGTATAATATAATAACACCTAACTTAACCCATTCGGACTTTCGGCCCCCCCCCCCCACCTTCACAGAAAATTGATGAATTTTTGGAATTTTCCGCCATTTTGAATATTATCAGGGGGTGAATGCCTCTCATAAGTGCACTGGCTAGCTGACCATGGCATCAGCATTTTGATGATGAATTATGGTTATGTCAAAATCATAGGAAAAACCAAGAAGTCAGGCCTCTGTATGGTCTCTATTCTGTGGCCAGGCTGCCAGCCAGTGAGCTCCATATATATCTGGAGCAACTGCAAGAACTTCAGTCATTCGGCCTATATATGAGAAAAATGAAGCCAAGATGGCAGCCATTCATGTACGTCCAATAGCTCTGAAGGTCGTAAACAGCTTTTATACCATTTTCCCCAGCCAGTTCTTTTCTAACGGATTGTATCTCTAACCAAGTTATCAGTTCATAGACCCATAGTGTTATTCTTTAAATCAAAGTCAAAATATGAAATTTTGGCAATTTCTCCTTGCCAAGATGGCAGAAATTGAAGGAGCTATTGGACATCAGTTCCAGTCCCTTTCTATTTTTCTTTTCACACGAAGCTGGCTTCACTTTTTGGACTCGAGTTCCCACTCCAGACATATATGAAGCTTACTGGTGCCACTCTCCCTTTGATGAGTAAAATCATCTGGAATTTGTCAATGTACAATAATAACGTAGTGTGCATTCTGGGCACAATGCAACTCAATGGATTAACTACTTAGACACATGGGCAGATGATTAACCCATATTGAGTACCAGCGCTCTCCCTTTGACAAGTAAAATCATCTGGCACAGGGCCGTACACAGCGGGGAGGGGTTGGGGGGCAACTGACCCCGCCCCTCCAGAGAAAACTATATTTACGATTTTTAGAATGTCAATATTAATTATTCTTTGGATAATTGGGACTTTTTTCGGCATATAGGCCTTACTGCCCCTGTGGTGAAAAAATCCTGCATACGGCCCTGATCTGGTAAATGCAACTCAATTAATGTGAAATGTTGAAACTTACTCTGTTGCCAGCCAAGCACCAATATAACTACCATCAATGTCTGGGAAATATAGCTCATTCTTAGAACATTCCACTGCCTTCTCAAAATAGCCTTCCTGCATAGAAAAATAAATTATACTTTAATTATCTGCGAGTATACATATTAACACAAATTTCAATGAGGTTGCACAAAAAATTGGTGCGTACGTAACACAAAATTATATGACTAATATATTATATTATATTACAGATATTATTAGTATAAATATTATCCATACTATACTAATATTATTACCCCAATAAATTGCATAATTGCATCACAATGCTCCCTTAATTTAACACCATACAATTTGACTCGTCAAGAGGACATGGGTGTTTTGCATAAGTTGTCAGCTTGATTAGCAAACATAATAAATGGAAGACACCCCAATCAGCAAATTCCAATCAGTAAACATAACAAATGAAAAGATAGATGATTAAACTGTACAGTGCATGAATGTTGCATCGATTCAGCCACATTTCTACCTGGCTGACCAAATGGTATCCTTTCAAAAGCAAATTACATGTAAATTTTTTTGTTTATTTTTTCATAGATTTAAGATCATTCCAGTGATGAGCCGTGCTCCTGAGCCGTGCTCCTCACACATTATTAAGAGCATGGAATAGCCCAATGCATGCCCAGGCTTTCTCTCTGCAACTTTCCTTGCAACAGTAGTTTAGCTGTTAATTATGGCACCAACATTTAGAGAGACTTGCTTGAAATCAAGAATTACAATCTATACAGTTTCACATTCATGCCACTTTGATGTGCCCTACTTTATTATTTTTACTCTCTGTCAGCTAAGGGGCGATTATGGAGAGTTTTCAGCTGGTTTTACAGTCAGAGCTATATTTATCCCTTGTAGCAAACAAACCTGGGCTGAAATGTCATCCCGGGCTGAAATCATATGGTATCACGAAAGGCAATATTCCGCTTGTTTGAGCATTCAAAACGCCGATTTACGTGATTAGTCGACTATTTGACTTGTGTAAGACTGTGGTTGCATATAAAGGATTAAAGATGAGACGAAACGCAAAATAAAGCCATTTAAACGATTGTTTTTTAGCCTGGGCTGAAATTATTTGCGATTACATGGGATATATCATCCCGGTTGACAGGGCTGAAAATCTCATC